AGATATTATTTAAGTACTATTTAGAGAATAAAAAATTTAAATACTAAATTGAGAAAGAATATACTCCCTCCGTCCCTAAATATTTGTCACACTTGTATTCCTGAGGTAAAAATATCAAATTTTTTCAATTCATTTTATTTACATATTGGTATAAAAATAAAAAATAAAATTTACATATCAAAAAACTACATGAAAAGTTCTTCGAAATAAGAGGTGTCAAGAATATTTTATTTTATCAAATGACCAATGAAAATTAGAAATAAACAAAAGTTCCCGCGACTGCTGAAAAAACAAATGTTGTAAATAATTTGGGACGGAGGGAGTGTGGAGTATGTTGTAGCTTAGTACTCCGTACTATTTAGTACAAATTTCATTATTAATATCCTCATTTTATCCATTAATTACTATCAATGCCGGTACTTTATACGGAGTATCACTTTTTACAATAACAAAAGGATAAATATGTAAAGTGAATATATCTTTTTTCTATTTTTTAATTTTAAGTGTAAAGGCAAAGTTAGAAATAATTTTTGGATAAACGAATAAATGGAATTATTATGAGGATATATATCTTTTTTCTATTTTTGTATCTTATTTATACACCAAAAGTATGCATTAACATTATGATGGCTCGCACTGACACAAAGTGTTAGTGAATTAACAAAAATTTAAACTAACACAACGTGTTGATGTGTTAACAAAAAGTAGTATTATACCAACACAAAATATTGATGCATCCTTGTGATGTACAATATCCTTGTGATGGAATTATTACACCAAAAGTATGCATTAACATTATGATGGCTCGCACTGACACAAAGTGTTAGTGAATTAACAAAAATTTAAACTAACACAACGTGTTGATGTGTTAACAAAAAGTAGTATTAAACCAACACAAAATATTGATGCATCCTTGTGATGTACAAAATGAGGTACAAATTCTTAAAGTAGAAAAAGTTTTATATTCCCTCCGTCCCTAAATAGATTACAATCTTTTCTCTCCTCTCAATATTTTTTGTTTATTTACATGATTTTATTCAGTACTCCGTATTTGATATAATAAAAAATTCTTGTCACTTCTTGTTTTGTAGAAAATTTTACATAATTTTTTAATATGTAATTTTTATATCTTATTTATATACCAAATTGTAAATAAAATAATTTCTAAAAAATAGAAAATTTTATTTTGTAACTCGCAATTTATAATCAAATTGGAGATGGAGAGAGTATTTATTAGTGATAGTACGAAATACGGAGTACTATTTACGTGAGGGTAAGTTTACTGCACAACTGACAATATCTACATGACTTCTTTTGATTTCCAGCGCAGCACAACAGTATAGTGGGGTTAGATGAGATGTCATTATATTGTTGTCTGTTTTAATAGAGCAATGCTACGTTCACAAACTTACTACCTCCGTCCCAATTTATAACGCCTGTTTCGGTTTACGATGTTTGACTGAAATTATTTTCAAACCATTTTATATGACAAATGGTATAAAATTTAAAAATAAAAATTACATATTAAAAAACTACATGAAAAGATCTACAAAACTAGTAGTGACAATAATATTTTATTTTATCAAATTGCTAACGAAAATAGAGAAAGAAAATGAATAAAGTTTGACCCTGTGAATAGTAAACAGGCATTATAATTTGGGACGGAGGGAGTACTATTTATGGTTTAAATTTTCATTTTAAAATTAGTTTAGACTATTTAATTATATTTATTGAAGTTCACAAATAGTAAGTTTGTGAAGTTTGTGACAATTTTGTTTGTGAACCAAACATTTTCCGTTTTAATATGGTATAGAGAAAAAAATTACGGAGTACCTATTTTTGATTTCCAGCAGCACAACAGTATAGTGGAGTATATCTTTTTCCTACTCCGTATTTTTTAATTTAAGTGTAAAGGCTAAATGAGAAATAATTTTTGGATAGACGAATAAATGGAATTATTATGATGAATATACTGCCTATTTTTCCTATTTTTGTACCATATTTGTATATCAAAGGTATGTACTAACATTATGATGGCTTACACTGACACAAAGTGTTAATGCGTCAATAAAAATTTACACTGACACAACGTGTTGATGTGTTAGCAAAAATTAACATTATACCAATACAAAATATTGATGCATCCTTGCAGTGTACAAAATGAGGTACAAATTCTTAAAGTAGAAATAGTTTTATACTTCATCCGTCCCCCATAGGTATTCTCATTAGCTTTTTTTATTTGTCTCATATAGATTTTTCTCATTACCTTTTTTAAAAATTAAAATACCACAACTACTCTTACTTACTTTATTTATTACACCTTTTCCACTTATTAAATACAAAGAAAACCTTCTAAATAGGAGTAAAACATGAATCATATCTTTAAAATAGAAGTTAAAACTTAAACTTCTCTAAATAGGAATAATTAATTAAATATATGTTGTACGGAGTAATTAACTCTTCTAGCTGCACAAACAAGTTGGCCGCACTATCCAACTTGGGCGCACAAACCAAGTTGGACTACCAATACTCATTAAACAAAACTATGGCAAAAAGTAGAGTTACTTGAAATTTATCCCTTTTTAACATTATGCATTAACATATGTGATATTTAACATTATGCATTGATATATCTTTCATTATACATTATCAGGAATGTTATTATACAATGTCAATGGGTTGGCATTATCTATTTAATTTGTTTAGCATTATGCATTTGCATGTATGACTTTATACATTGACATGATTGACATTATATGATTACATGTGACATTTAATGTGGTCTTTTTTGACATTGTATGAACATTTTAATTTAGTAATTTACTACGTTTCTACATGTAAGGTGATTCATTTTTGTTGATGAAGTTTTGAGTGTGTTTTGTTATTATATTTAATTTTTTTTACATTCAAATTTGTTACAGTATTTTTTTTAGCATTATGCATTCGCATGTATGACTTTATACATTAGCATGATTGTCATTATATCATTACATTTGACATTTAATGTGGTCTTTTTTGACACTGCGTAGACATTTTAATTTAGCAATTTACTATGTTTCTATATGTAGGTATTGATTCATTTTTGTTGATGAAGTTTTGGGTTTGTTTTGTTATTGAATTAATTTTGTTTACATTCAAATTTGTTTTTTTTGTCGATTTAGTTTTGTTAACGATTCAATAACAATTTACTATAAATAAAGGTGACTGAACGAGAGTTCTTGCCAACAATACGTCGCATGAAAAGTTTTTTTTAAATCCCATGGAAGAGTTAAAGAGGCACTAGAGTCTTTTTTTTGTTTTGCATAATGCTTACAAGCATTGCCCCAAGTTCATCTTACATTTTTTGATAACTCTACTTTTTTTTCTTGTTTAGATTGACACGGTTATATTTACAGATTTGTTATGATTTTTGAAAGGATTATGCTATGTGTATCCCAATAATTGTACCTCAATTTGTACCCCGCAGTTTTGTACCAACATTTTGTGTTGGTGTAAAACTAATTTTTGTTAAACGCACCAACATTTGTGTCCGTGTGAATTTTTATTAACGCACCAACACTTGTGTCGGTGTAAACCATCGAAATGTTTGTGCAAACCTGTGGTGTACAAATGGGGTATATTTGTTAGTGTAAGTATAGCATGGTCCAAGTACCTTCTTGAAATTCAACAACAACCGTCAGACTTAAATTTTCAAAGGAAATGCTAGTTAGAGTAAAAATTGTGCAGTAATGTGAAGGATTACCTAAGACAATAGTGCGAGAAAGTATATGCCGTAGGGAGTAGATATTAGGGTTAGACACAAATTAACTGGACTCAATGCAACTATGCAAGGCGCATAACCCAACTCCTACGGAGTATATATTTTAATTAACCCTCCTAGCTCCAAATTATTTTAATTACTCCTATTTAGGGGAGTTTAAGTTTCAATTTCTATTTTGGGATATGACAATTCCTTTACTCCTATTTTGGTCCATCTTCCTTAAATACACCCCACCCATTTTTATTAAGGATAATTTGATAAATTTTTACCCTTTTTCAGCTCTCGTTAAAAACCGCAAAAGATCAAAACGAAAATATTTTTAATTATAATATTTTTACGCGTTTGTGCTTGTAAATTATAATATTTTTAATGATAAATAATTAATTTGTTGTTTGTTTGAAATAAATCATTTTAATCCTGCCCATACTTTATTAATTTGTAATTTTTAAATTTTATTTTAATATTTAAATGGTAGTGTATTTTATTTTTATATTTCAATTCCCCAATGGTTCACTACTATTTAATTTAAATGCTTAAATTGTGTAATATTTAAATAAAAATAAAAATGAAAACATACTTAAAATGGAAGGAAAACATTAAGGTAAAATAATTAAACTACTATTTATGTTGTCAACACTTTCCATATACGAGTATCATACATGGACGGGAAAAAATTCATGTCTTTTTAAATAATGTATAGATGTATAGATTGCCTACTTGCACATGTAATTTTTACTTTAATTCGTCACATCAAAGATAACATATAAATATATATATACTCCCTCCGTCTTAAAATTAACTTCCATTTGACTTTTTTACTGTCTCCAATGTAACACTTTGACCATCAATATGTTTCAAAATGAATTTATTGCTAATAAATTTAAATGAAAATTCAATGTATTTTTTTCGTAATATACAGTCAAAGTTTAAAAAGTTTGACCACAAAATTCAAATCGAGAAATTAATTTTAGGGCGGAGGGAGTATATATTTTTTAATTTTTCTTAATCCCTTATGACATGTTAAATTTAATTTTTTTGGAGGGAGAGAATATTTATTTTTACCGAGGTCTCCGTGATCAATGGGGTCAATGGAATATGAAGGACCCGATCGATAGTAATGATGGTAGGTTTTCTTACCAATGATAATTACTAAAAATGGAGAAGTTACCGGGAAGCGAGAAGGGCGGAAGTACCTGACAAACCTAGTTAGTGTATTCCGTGCGTTCACATAGGCTTCTCGCTATATACTCCGTACATATATATATATATATATATATATATATATATGATGGGGCTATTGGAGTGCCAGCCTTGTTCTTTCCGCCCCCATCCCTTTCCCTTTCTTTTTCTTTAATTTCGTTCATTCATCTTATTCTATCTCTAAGGCCCTCTGGTTTTCTATCAGTTTAATCTGGGTTTATAGATCAGCATATTTGGTTCCAATCGATCGTTTTATTTTACTTTCAGAATTGTTCAATCGTCTAGTTTTATTATCATGATCTACGTATTTTTCAATGGCTTTTGTTTGGGAATTTGCTTTTTCATTCTTTTCTCCAATTATATTTCTAATAGATGGATTCATTATACTATTAATTTGAACATCTTGTTATATTACTGAATGAGTTTAATTCGAGATTTTTCTGTCTTGGTTTTTTTCAATAGATCCATTCGATATTTAAAAATGAAATCTATAAGACTTGATCTTATAGATGTCTTCATTTTACCATTGATTTGGTTCAGTTTCATCATATACATGATTTTGGCATTCTTGAATGAGATTTACTGGAGAATTTGCTGTCAGCTTTTTTTCCAATTACATGTGTTCGATATTTAAAGATCCAAGTCGATTTGATCTTGTAGATCTGTTCTTTTAACGATTAATTTGGTTCAATTTTTTTATTAACATGATCTTGGTGTTCTTGAATGAGTTTTATTGGAGACATCGCTGTCCAATTAAATTCATTCGATATTTAAAGATCCTATCAATTAGATCTACATGATCATGGTATTATGGAATGAGTTTTATTTTTGAATTTGCTGTCATAGATTTTTTTCATTCAAATTCATTTGATATTTAAAGAATGATCATATCGATTTGATCTTATAGATGGTTAATTTTCGTAATGATTTGGTTCTACCTCTTAATCTACTTGATCTGGATGGTTTGAGCGAGATTCATTGGAGATTTTGCTGTCTTTTTTTCCCAATAAGATTCATTCTGTAGTATTAATAGATCGGTTCCAACTCCTATTAATTTTCTTCAATTTTTTTCGAGTCATTTATAGATTTGTTCCAAATACTATTAATTTTGTTCAAGTATATGGTCACAGTGTTCTTGAATGAGAATAGATCTTATAGATCGGTTAAAGTTTCTCGTTCAATCCCGAAAGACTTCTTATGCCGGACAACAATGTACAATCCTCTGTTACTAAAAGGAGGAGCAGAAGAGGAAAGAAGATGTTTTATGAATATTGGTCTCAGAGAGGATTGGGCGTAATTGGGCCAATGAAACCCAAACAATTTCAGGTATGTTTTCTTGTTACAAAATTTTCCAACCATCACAAATTTTTCCAACCCCCACAAAGTGTTATAAATAAAATTAAATTTTTTTAAAAAGAAATTTTAGTCTTCTATTTTCAATAGCTAAAAAATATTATAGCTTTTCTAAGTTCAGGAACATAAACCCTATTCCTTTCTCATTATTTCGAATATCTTTCTACTCCTTCTACTCTCATCTGGATCTCCCAAACCCTATTCCTTTTTCATTATTTCGCATTTCCTTCTGCTCCATCTACTCTCATCTGGAAATTTTTTATCCTTTACGAATAATCTTCCATCTCGCTGCAACTACAAAATGTGAGTAACCATATATCTTATTTGACATTTTTGTTTCACTGAAATTTTCTTACTTTTCTGTAAGTGGTAATGCTTGTACATCCTTGTTTCTTTTCTGTTTTGTTGTTTTCTGATAATCTGTTCTATGTTTTGTCTAGGGTTCTTGAGTTTAGGGATATGCCAAATTATCATAAATACGAATTCAAGCTCAATTCTAAAAGTCTGGACATTAGGGATAAATTTGTGGACTTAATGAGATTCACTAGGTCAATGGCTTCTTTTAATGGGACTGAGTTTGGAGGGATTTTTGAAGCAAGATGTATTCAGGGGTTTCTTCTTTTTTTGGTTAAGGTGCTGTATGAGGATAAATACTATTGATTAAGAGGGCTGATCTGTATATAATTGGATACCGGTTTAATAGTAAATGGTACCATTTTTGGGATTCAGACTTAATGTTGGATGGTTCAATTCGTGCTTCTGAGTATCTTGCTTATGAAAATGATATATGTTCTGAGCTTGGGGCAAACTCCCTTAGGTATGGAGTGGAATTAATGAACTATCCTGACTCTAAATCAAGAAAAAGGGGATGTGAAATTTTCTATGTTCATATATCTGAAAGTGCTCGTTTCCTCCCTATCCAGAGTTTAATCTGTCAAGGTTTTTTAAGAGGGGGCTTGGTTGATTTTGAGAGTCCTATACTTTCTGAAACAACCCTATTTGAATGGGCAGAAGGAACTGTTGAAGAAATTGATGTAGTTTGTTATGCCTATGCTTCTAGGAAACCAGATTTTTTTAAATTCAAAGATGCATTTGACTATATGGGAAATTTGGTCCGCAATGGGGAGTGTTTGTCCAAGGCCTGGGCTACGTATTGTTTGTTGGAGACCCAAGATCTTTTCCAAACCCTAGATGTTACCTTAAGCCAATGCAGAATTAGGAATGTCCATTCATTGAGAAATGTATTGGGCTTGCTTGCCAATCAGAAATTGGAGGAATTGCGCACCTTGATTGTTGATGATCCTGCTCTTGATGCTGAGGAAAATCACCAGCGTAGGGTAAATCGAAGAGCTAAAATTGATTCTTGGACTCAAGACAGGAACAGGAATGTGGTTGCAACAAAAAAGGTTGAGCTGTCCGGGAAGAAAGGCCGTTGATGTTTTTGCTTAGATGGATGCGTTTAGGTGATGGTTTTAACTGGAATGACTTAATATTCTGTGATGGTTGGAATGACACTTTCAGTTTTTTCTCTTTTGGTACTTTACTTTGTGTATTACAATTATGAAAAATTTGAGAAAGAAAATTTGATCTGAATATTTGTGGGAGATGAATCTGTTTTGTGGGGCTCTCTTTTTTCTTCTTGGTAGGAAGACACAGAAGATGAAAACTGTTTTTAGTGGAAACTGCCTGTTCATTTTATTCGCTTCACGGCTATATGCATGCTTAGAGAAAAGGAAGTAAAACTTGCCTCATTATCCAAAATTGACTTCTTTTTTTCCTCATAATTATCAAGTTTTTCATGTGGGCTCTTCATTTGGAGCTACTCCCTTCAACAAAATTAGTTAAATATTGATCTGTAATTACCTAGAAATTACTCCTGTGTATTGTACATATTGGTTATTATGAGCTATCTACAAAATTGTGTGTTACTTTCATGGATGGATGGAGGCTGGATTTGGTTGGGTTTGAGGATCTATCTTGAAATGCCACATTTATTCACTGTATGAAAACTTAAAATTTATTGAAAGTCGGATATGGATTGGGCTGGGTCAAGTATCGATCGAGTCCTTCAAATTTACCGACCCAAACCGGATTTACCAAAACTGGGTTGGGTTTTGGATATTTAATATTTATGTTCTAATTCAGATATTAGAACCTCCAGTCGGTAGAATTGCCATCTCTTGTTATTTCTTGTTTTAATTGAAAAAGGATAATAAATTTAAATTTCCACAATGTAAAATCATACATAAGACCCCATGGATTAATCATCAGTTAATACGAGTAATAAACATAAAGCTAGTCATTACTCCGCAATATTAGTCTGATAGATAACATAAGTTAGTCATTCTAAATTCTAGATACGAGGAATCCTTCTGTCCCAAATTCTTTCCGGTTCGATTTTTTTAAATTTGTGCTATTTTTGAACCATAAAGTATGAAAATATATATATGTATATAAATGAAAAAAAAGCGGGTGGAAATAAAAAAAAAAAGAAAATGTACAACGTTTCTTCCTTTTACTTTTGAATTCCATTTGAAATGGTCTTTTCAATAATGTTTTTCTTAATTAGTTCTCAATAATTATTAATTACTTGAATGATTCTTTATAATTTAATTTTAAGCGTAATCGGGGTTGGTTTGCTTATCTAGCAGCAATTTACTTTATTTGAAAGAATAATTTTGAAGATTCATTCATAATTTAGATAATAAAAAATAAAAAAATCTTCTAATTTTTTGCCATTTAGTACTCCCACTGTCCACAAATAAATTTCTCATGCACTATTCACAGAATCAGATTTTATTCACTTTGTTGGCTTATTTTCGTTACTTATTTGATAAATAATATAATAATATCACTTTTAGTTTTATTTTGTAGATCTTTTGATATAGTTTTTTTATTATGTTATTTTTATTTTTAATTTTACACCTTTCTTATATATAAAATGATTTGAAGTATAAAAGTTTATATTGGTAATTATTAGAGTCTAGAAAGTAACTGGAATAATATCTCGCTTATCTCCTTTTGGATGACCTATTGGCCAACCCCTTCTGTTTGGTGCCTTTGATTCTTTGGATGATGTTGGATTTCCTTACTAGCAGTATTCAAGTACACCATACTACATTCTCTTCTTCTTGACTCAAAAGTCCCATACCCAAACTTGGTAGCGCATAGCTTCTTGTTTTATGGTGTGTTAGGTTCGGTGTAAAATATATTCTAAAAAAATATAGATTTCGTTTTGTGGTGTTTGGGGATATTAGTGAAAGGAAAATATTTTCTTACTAAACAATGGAAAACATGATTGAAGAATAATTTTCTTGAAATTACTTTTCCTTTGAAAAATATTCTTCAAGAAAAATATTTTACTCCCAACAAAGTACAACCTTACTTTAATTTGACCTTCTTCTCTAGCTGTTCATTTTGAATTATGGTCTCTTCTTCTTCGAGTCTCTAATCTCTACTCAAACTTGTACATTCCAAAATATTAAAAACATTGAGTCAATGTTTTTATTAGCAGTGACAAACAAATGAAATAATACATAGAGCAATTAATATTCTGAGTAAACGTGACATAAACCTTAATTTCCCGAAACAAACCCCTTGTAGGACCCATTTCAACACGCTAAAAACAAAACTGCATTATACTCCCTCCATCCTTGAGTATAAGTTCACTAATTTCACTCTTGACTTTGTGGCCAAAATGGTTAAAAGTTTGGTCTCAAACTAAATCAAAATGATAATCCGTAATAGATATTGATATGGAGAAAATATTATAATAAAAATACATTTTTTTCTCCAAAATAGGAGTCACCAAATATTAAGAGATTTCTTAGTTTCAAAAAGAAGATATTTGTAATGTATTTCTACCGAAAGACAAAGTTTGTTCTGTATATTGGTGTTTAAGTATACAAAATTGACAAGAAAAGTCAATTGAGAAGATCAAATCCAAACACAAAGAGAGTATTGTTAAAGAAATTAGAACAATACATGAAGTTTTATGCAATTGAGTGAGAACTAAAATTATTTTAAAAAAAATTAAAACATCAACTTCTAAAATAATTAAAATTTTATGTGAAAAATGTAACTATTATTTTACATACCAAAATTTTTTCACTTGATATGAATTTAGTTTCAAAGAGCAAAACAAATATAATTACAAGGGTTTTCACAAAGAAAATTACAAAAACATTTAAAAATAATCATAGGTATTTCACTTTTGACTTCATTGAAGTCACAACAAGCACTTTTTAAAAAAACAAAAAAAAATATTTGCATGGGATATATACAACAAAACAATATTTGCAAAAAAAGGGAATCACATATTTTTCATTTGAAATTTGAAATTTACTAGTTTAAACATGAGTGGCTAATAGAAAGACACAACACATTAAGATGCCCCTAAATGTACAATTGAGATAAAATTATAATTATTATAACGGAGACCTAAAATTACTCTTCATTTAAATGTTGAAAATACCTAAATTTCCTCCATTGAACATTCATTTAAGAAACATATATGGAAGACACTGAGTGAATAAATTTCAACTATAAAGTACTCCATAGATAATTAATGCTTAAAAACACTGATTTGGAAGATACATTATTCGAAGAGACTATTTCGAGATTACACAAAGAAATTTATTATTTATAATTAGGTGACTAAAAGACTTAAGACTATATTTTTTAAGGAATAATTATACGTGTCATGATTATGTACTTTATTTTTAGACAAATGGATGATATGTCTACTATGAGATTGACTCAATGCATATCTTACATAAAAGTTTTGTTTATGGCAAGATGACTAATTGTGATATGAAATAAAAGTATTTCCATGCAATTTGATTATTTTAAAATATTGAATTTTTAAAATAAACAAATTATAAAAAGATTTAATAGGAATTTTAAACTTTATCTCGGTAACTTGGTTTACTATTTTTAATTAAAATAATCTTATATTGTAACTTACAATTTACTCGGTACATACTTATATTATTATTGTGAGAGAGAACTTCATACGTTTTCATTTACGCAACCGTACATGCAAACTTCATAAGATGATATTTTATGAGACGACACAGATTTATGCAAAGAAGATTGTGGCAAAGAAGATCAAGGTGTGGGGGGAGCGTGAGAAGATTTGTGACAATAAAAATTTAGGATAATCAAAAAATTAGGATAAATTGTGCAGAAAATCCAAAGTGCAGTAGCTAATAAGTTCGAGACTTAGTTACATGTTACAACCATATCAAAGAAAATACAATTTCTCATCTGTAACTATTTGTATTTTGATAGAATATTTTATATCTTGACCAGAATACTATCCCGACAAAATTATTAGAACACTAAAATTTTAATGTTTTTAAAAATAAATGTGGTGGAGAAGAATAATTAATCCTTAATATTTTAAAATTAAAATTTTAATCATAGAGATTTACGATCACTAATTTAAGATTTTGTTTTTTTAATAATGCAAGAATGAATAATAACTTTTTATAATCATTGTGGGGGGGGGGGGGGNAATTACTACCTCCGTCACTGAGTATTTGTCCAGTTTTGACTTTTCCGACTAATTGTTTTCAATATTTGACTTAGAATTAAATAAAATATATATTATATATTAAGTATATAAAAATTATTTTGAAAATGCATGATATAATAAATCTAATAAAACTAATTTTGTATCAATATCTAATATCGTTTTTATTTAATTTGAGGTCAAAATTTACCAATTCTGACAAAAAAAAAGTCAAAAATTGACAAATACTCAGGGACTGAGGAAGTATATAATTATAAGGAAGGTAATTTAGGTTTTTTAAATTAATGTGAGGAAAAAAAATCATTGGATCACTAATTCTTTTGTATTAATATATTTTCAAATTTATAAAAATTATAAATTTGTAAAAATACATTAAACATAGATGATTTATATTTGACCTTTAAATAATATGTCAAATTTAAATCAAGATCCACATTATAGAATCGAAAAAAATTCCGTCCGAACTCGTGCATGGCACGGGTAGAAATACTAGTATATATGTAAAATAGAGTTTAGTTGTTGTAGTGTTGACATGTGGCATGCCACATGTGCACCCATTTATGAAATGGATATATGCATTGCACCCATTTTAAATATCTTTTAATACATTTGTATAAAATTTTTCATTTTTTAATAATTCTAAATATATATTTCACCCTTGTAAAATGTACTCCGTATTTTGAATATATACACACACACATAAAATTATTTTTATACTATCCACAACTTATTTTAGTTTATTATTTCTCAAAAAATGATTGTATAAATTTAATCACATTTGCATATTTATTAATTAAATACTTTGCTTCAAAAAATTTATCTTACTACATTCTTTATTTTATTGCTACATATGTTTTTCAACAAAGTGAATAAAATAAAGTTGGTTTAATTAGAGGGAGACAACTTACAAATGACATTATAATACATATACATTCTCTAATGATGTATCATTATGCATGTAACTGATCCACTTTTTATTATAATATTTTATTAATTCAAACCATTTATATTAGTATTTAATCCAATGATCATTAATTTTGTAAAATTGTTTTTTTTTAAATTAACATACCAATATATATTCCGTCAGGCTAAAACATTTTTTGTCACTATTAAAAACTAAAACAACTAAAATTATATTTATAGAATCTCAAAAGTTTAGAATATATACGAGCCCGTACGAAGCACGGTGTAAACACAATGAATGCTATAGAATTTGCAAAGACTTGGAGCATTACTACTTTGTGGTCTCCCTATTTTTTCTTTTTGGATGTCCATTATGAATCTCTCATTTTCAATTAATTCCTAAATCAAAGAGGGAAAATAAATAATACAAATGAATGCTCTGCAATTTGGAGTGTCTTACAATTACACTCTTAAGTCCTGTGTTTAAATGCAAAGAAGATGAGGCTGAATCAGTGAAGTGACAAAAACAAAACAGCCAAATCAGCATAGACATAATGAAGGGATGAACCTCGCTATCTTTGAAGCTTTTTTGTGACATGGGTTATCTCTTAGGAGTATCCTTGTGTAGTAGTTATTCTAGAAGGAAAAGTTTGTAAGATGGTCCAAACATAGGAGTATTTCGTGTACATTGTCAACTAATTTTTTATTAATCAGATTATTTATCTTCAGTGTACAGTGTTTTTATTTGCATTAATTTATTACTCCCTCTGTCCAATATCTTTCTTCTCATTTTCCTCTTTAGGCCGTCCCATTTGATTCTTCTCATTTGCGTACACCTAAAGTTACACTTTTTCCCTTTCTTCTTTTACCATTTCATTTTTCATTCAGACCCCCCCCCCCCCCATCTTCTTCTCTTCTCTTTACTTTGATTTTATTGTCTATTTCAATTTTGATTTTGTTAAAGAAGAGATTCAATTTTGGACAAATGTGGGACTAGCACATAGTCACATAAATCGCGGTACGTTTCGGTACGGGTACGCGGTACGGGTACGGAATTCGCTAGAGCTAACGAATTCGGTACGAAGGGGGGTAGGTTCATTTGGGTACGAAGCGGTACGAAGTGGTACGGTGTACCATGTATTCGGTTCGGCGTACCAAAAGTCAAAACATAAGTAAACAAAAATAGATAAAAATAAGTATAATACTTAATTGTGAATTGAATTTTAAATTAAATATTAAATGATGAGAATGGGAAAGAGAAATATTTAATTGGGAAGGTAGAATGTGCCTGGGAAATAGAACATACTCAATTTACGAAGACTTGGGAAAGAGAAATCGTCAAAAAGGGAAAGAGGCAAACTGAGAAGAGGAAGTCGATGTTGCTTTGCTGGGAAGAAGAAGTCGAGGAAGTCGCCACCGGTACGTTGTACCGCCGGCGATGGGTGCGACGTACCTAGGTATTTGGATCGTCGTACCATCGCAATTGGGATCGCCGTACCATCGCAATTTGGATCGCCGTACCGGTTGCGATCGGATCGCAAGTGAATTGCGATTGGGTACGAATCGTACCAATACGGAAGTCGCGGCTCTGGGAGCGAATTCTGTGACTATGGACTAGCACTCGAGAGAACAGGCACACTGCTTTGGTTTTGGACATATTCTGATATTCTTATAAACCAAAAAAAAACTGAAATAATAGAATCTCAAAAGTGAGGTATAACATCATCTTCCAGTTTGTTAAAGGAGCTACTTCCAATCTTGAACACTTCGTCGCACGAGAGATGATAATGTGTGCCAAACAAATCTACATGAATAATGAGGGACGAACCCATCGACACCGCAACTATACATCGAGAAAGTGGTACTCTCCCATCATCCTTTAATCGTACTGAATCCTTCTCAGTCCTTTTGAAAAGCACACTCCGAAAATAGTTTCTCTCGAACTCAGTTGGGTATTCAAAGTTGCTATAATGCGCAATTGCACTTCCATAGACTATGTCAGGCCCAAAATGATCACCTTTATTCTTGACAAAGATCTCGATCTTTGCTTGAAAAGCTCTTGAGAAAATGGAGTAATGCAATGCACAAAACCCCCTTTCTCCCGGAAAAACAGAACATATTTGGGTGTCAAATACACGGTCATGGCTAGCAAAGCCTCTACTCTGAAATTTACCACCAACATCTTTCAGATCGACCTTCAATTCAAGCATGCTATAATCATCAAGACTCATATGCACATCTCCCAATGGTAACACTTTCTGTGAATCTTCTATTTCCACACCATCATCACCTGCCCTCTTGAACAGGTAGTGAGTCTTCTCACCAGAAGACAACTCAACAGTGCCAAAAATTTTCAATGCCGACCCCATTTTTTTACGGCCGATAACGATTGAGTAGAATTCTGTGAAACTTGATGGTCTCAGCATACTTTCTGGGTCTAGATAATACCTAACATTGTGTTTGTTTGGAGGTAGGTGAAGGTAGATGGAGGTAGATTTAATATTCTACCTTGTTTGGTGACAAAAATTTTGATAGGTAAAGGGAGGTAGGGAGAGGTAGAAGAAGGTAGTGTTACCTTGTATTTTTGGTGACCGCCAAATTCGCGAAACATCGAGGTAATACACAGTATTATCCGCGGCTACCCTTCAATCGCCATCTTCACCGGATCGAAAATCAATCCCCATCTTCACATCGCTCTTCCGATCGCCATCTCCAAACTCCAAGACAGGTATTCTTGTTGCCATCCTTACAATTTCGATAGTCATCCTGATACGAGGTTGAAGAAGTCACCGGCGCCGCTGGTACGTCGATCGGGTCGAGCTCGTGGGACTCCGAAGTACCTGGAGGACTATTCCTAGTGAATCATATCCGTGAGACTTGGAAGATTATTTCAAGTGATTTATTGTTTTATCATTAATTCATTTACGGAGTATTATTTTAATTGATTTCCTTTTGACTGTTTCTATTTTGTTAGCAGTGGACCTTTTCTTAAGGGTGAGGGTAGTTAGTTTCCACTTTTCTAGACTAGTGGGGATGTGGAAGTTAGCAGTAGCCATTGCGTGGGCATTATTCATTCTGCTGCCTATTTATATTTCTTGTTTTTGCATTTGTGAATATATGAAGAATTAAAACCCAAACAGTAGTCTCTTCCTCTCTTGCAAAAAGGCTGCGTCAACCAGCTTTCACGTTGGCAATTCTGTAACTCCAATCCTCCTTGCTGGAGTGTGTATCGGCTCGAAGCGATACTACATAAGTCGTGACTTAACACATCCCCTTCGCTGCTTTTTTGTTTCAATTTTCACTTTTTTTTTCACTTCAATTTTCATTCACCAGATTTCGTTCTGCTCTGCTATGCTTGCTTCAATTTCTACTTTTTTCAATTTTGAATTTCAAGTTTTCAATTTTCGTTTTTCTTTTTTTTCTCCTGTTTTTTAATGGTTTTTTCTGTTCTTTTCCTGCGCTTCCTTTGCTTCTGCCCAAATCCAGGACGGTATTCTTCTCTCCCTACTAGAAAGAGTTGCAGAAGATGCTTCCCAGCTGGTGTTTGTTCTAATACGGAGTATGTCAAACCTGAGTTGCAGAAGATGGTTGGGTTTCTGGTTATTTTAGTAATTTTATTATTTCCCTACCTCACGTTACCTAATAAATATCCAAACACATTTTTTAAGTCATTACCTCACTTTACCAACCTTAAATTACCTACCTTCAATTACCTATCATTACCTACCTAATAAAACTTTTACCTACCTCCAACCAAACATGCCCTAATTGAAAAAAATATAATTATAAACCAATAAACACTGTAAAAAGTGGCTGAGCTAATACACCCTCCGTCATTGGAAAATGTTCTCTTTGACTATTGCGAGTTTTAAGATGGTCAAAAAATTATTTTGAGAATAGGAAACAGAGATGTTGGGAATGTAAATAGTGTTGTTGGGAATGCTAAACCGTGTTGTAAAAACTGTTCTGGGACGTTAAGAAATGACAAAGGAAGATTATTTAAAGACGGAGGCAGTATTATGAAAGTGCACAAAAGGAAGAACAACAAACCTAGGGTTGGCATTGTTGGATAATGACCATCCATCATCAGACTGAAGAGAAATGACAAAACATTAGATATTGAGTGGTGTAAAATAAAATATATCAAACTAATGCAATGCTCTCTTACTGCAAAGTGTTGCCTTTTAACAATACTTTGTAGTGTTAGTACTAGAAACAATATGAATATAAACAAAAATGAAACCTTAAACTGACAGCGACACAAGTACACAAAA